AATATAACCGGGCCGTAGGAACAAAAATTACAAAGACTACTTTTTTTTCTACTTTTACAATTCAATTTTTATGACAATATTAAGTTGATTTATAATGTTCTACTCTGCCTCGTCATTATGTTCCACTTTGCCTAGTTATTATGTTCCACTCTGCCTCGTTATTATGTGCCACTCTGCCTCATTTATGTTTTAAATAGTCATACTATACTGAAAACCTGTAGTTTTTATGTTCAGAATGAGACCTTTTAATAACTTTTGTAATAAAAACTTTAGAAACACCTCATAAATAAAATTTTGGACAAAATTTAAAAATTAGTATTTTAAGAACTAATAAGTTTTATTATTTAATATTTCAACTGTTAATATGTTAGTATATATAGTTCATAAATATATCAAAATAATTATTTCAAATACCATATTTAGCAATATTATAAAGTTTTTTTGAAAGCTATTTTACTTGAGTAAGGAAAGTTTCTTTATTCATCTTTGAATAGTAATATCTAATTCTTGCTTCAAGCTCTTCCAAATTCTCAGCTCTCTAATTATTCTTGTACACTAGCCGATTTAAATCACCTCAAAAGTTTTCAATTAGTCTTGCTTCTGGAGCGTTAGCTGGGTTTATATCTTTGAGCACAACTTGGATTTTTTTTCAATTTTAAAAAGTCGATGACCGACTTTGGGTAATGTGATTGAGCAAGATCAGACCAGAAGATAAACTCATTGTCTTTTTTATATTCTGATACTAGAGGAAGTAAAGTTTTTTCTAGTATCTCTTTATAAATGTACTGGTTGATTGCCTGCTTACTGTGATAAATATAAAGAGGGCTTATTCCACGGGGGCTGATGCAACAAGAAACTAAAAGCTTGTCCTCGTACTTTTTACGCAAATTGTATCTTACTTCGTCAGAAAATTGAGAAAGAATAAGCGGTAAAAAATCTATCATTACCAGCTAATGTGTTATTGTTTAAGGTAAAATAGCTTTCATCATCCATAACCTAATCCAAGTTTCTACAATTTTCGTACAATTTACGACATTTAGGACGCATAGCTTTCTTCTGCTGATGGCTACGATCTGGACGATTTTTTTTTTTGAAAGTTCAAATGTTAGTCATTGTTTTTAATACTTGGGAAATTCGAGTTTTACTACAGTTAAAAACTTGAGCTACTTTCTTTTGGGAGCACCCTGACTTTTTTTCAAAAAATGCAGCAATCTTTGGAATATTTTCTTTAGTTGCTACCTTAGCCATTCGACCACTTCCAACTTTTCTTTTTAGAGACCAATTTTCCAATTTTACGATTTTATCGTAAGCAGTTGATCTGGGTAAACCCCATTCCATAAACTGCTTAGCAACAAACGCTTTACCTTTTTCTTGATTTTTTTAGAAAACAATTTCCATCATTTTTCTTTTGGTCCTTTACTTTCACTATTTTATTTTCAAATTTAAATAATATCTTTAACTTAATTAAATTAAATTTAAAAAAATAACTTAATTAAATTAAATTTAAATATATTATTAAATCCTCTTTCAAATAAGTATAAAGTTTTTTTTGCATGAAATAAATTACATAATAAATGCAATTAAAATTTGTCCGAAATGTTCTTTAGAGGGTGTTAATATATTATTGCTTTATATTAAATGAAGGTTTTGTTCAATTATGCATCCTGATTAGTGTTAAATGTTACCAGTGGACCTTAGGTACGCACACACATTTTTAAAAATCTTTAACAATGTCCTTATTATAACTCTATCAAATTTAGAATAAAAAAACATCTAAACTATTGGTTTCTCTTTTCACCCAACATGCATAGCTAATAAAAACAGTTAAAAAAACAATAATAAGGTTATTTATTAATCTTATTTAGCAAAAAATACATAATTTTATAGGAGCAGTACATGATCATACTTAGCACCAAAAAATGCAATCATAAAACTATATTTTTAGAAAGTGGTACCAGAAAAACCCTAAAAACTGTTTCCATGCACCCCACTTTACGGTAGAATTTTAACTTGGCATTAAAATCCACGAGACAAAGGATTGAATTTAAGTTCTTATCTAAATTTTTTAACAACGTTTCAAAACAATATTAATTACAATTTTTTACATATCATAATATTAGCAAAATATACTTCCGTTACAAAAGATTATATTTCATCAAATACTGCTAAATAATAACAAAATAATAAATAACACGCAGTTAAGAAAGAAGAAAAATTAAATTCAGGAAGCATTAGTTGAATATATTACGATAGACTTTATAAGGTAGATTATGTTGTTATAGGGAACTTGTAAAAGACTAAATAAAGTCTTATCATTGAGAACCTTGGTGTAATACGCAAAATACACATAAAAGTTGTGATTCTTAAATGTTGTTGTGATATTATTTTGCTTTTTCTAATTATATAATGATTTGTGTATGCACATTATTTTTTTTATTTATAACTTTTTTTTTTTTTTAATATTATATTTATTTATATAAAAATCCGACTTTTTTTCACGTGGAAGATAATTTTAGTTCAAACTATTTAAATTACAAAAAACATGTTGCAAATATTGTCTATGAAGCAAGCACCCTAGTTCTTTTTGAAAAAAGCTATATTTTAAAAGTTGTTAATAGTCAAGTTTTAATAATTTCATTGCACACAAGACAATATGCAAAGTTTAGCTTTGTTGTTTGTGTTTAAAATGTTATATCAAAGTTTAGCTTTGATGTTACGTAACTTCTGGTATGTCATTTAATTGGTTTTGTGGCACTGTATTTGTTTGATTTAGTTGTCCTTTAAAGATATATTGTTTCTTGTTATAATTTTAAATCTAATTTAGTTTTTTCAAAAAAAAATCTTTTTAATAAAAACAAAGGGTTGTCGGTTTCGGCAATGTTTTTTAAGTACTTTAGCCAGACGTAAAATTAAAAAAACGTCATTTCAATGTTTTATAATTAGTTTATTTTACGTACAAAGTTTTATCTTTTAAATGATATTAATCATGGTTTACAATTGGTAATCAACTCAAACAACTTTTTTAAATTAGTCTCTATTTTTATGTACACATCTGCTAAATGAGGTAGATCTCATTGTCTCTATATACAGTCGGTAAACCAACTTACTGCAAGTTCCGCTGAATTGAAGCTTAATGCCTTATTTTTAGGCCGAGTTTATATTACCCTATTTTAATTTTTTTTTTATTATCCTACTTTAAAATTTTGAGTCATCAGGAGAGGCTGAGGAAAGGCTGAGGAGAGTAATCATGAGAGGATCAATCATAGGAATGAAATAAAAATCTGCATCAAAATTAATTTAGATTTAAAAATAGATGTTTTAATCACAAGCAATTTATTTTGCGAATTTTCTAAAGAAAGTTTTAACACAAATTTAACACTCCTTACACGTTTTTTTTTTTTACACAGTTTAAAGCAGGGGTGTGTAACCAGTGTGTGGTTTAAAGTAGAAACTTTAACCACAGCCCTGGTTTAAAGTTTCTACTTTCGGTAAGAAACACAGATCGTCAAAGTTCATTTGACAATTTTCAAAAACGTGTTCGTTACACAGTATTTATTTTTAAGAAAGTTCTTAATTTAAAAGCCACAAATAAATTTTAAACTGAAACTTGGTAAACAAAACTTAAACATCTTAAACAATTTTAAACATTTATGCTCTCTGTTGAAATACTTGCTGTTCTAACCTGTTGAAACACTGGCCAGTTCGAACCTGTTGCCAGGTTCGAACTGGCCAGTGACTTTTATTTATATTTGCCGATGCAGCAAAATAAGGATTGTCAAACATTGATTACTAATGCTAAATGTTATATGATTTACTCTTAATTGTTATAATCAAATGTACATCATACAAACTTTGCATTTTGTGACGTTATTACTAATGCGTTAATAAATATTTTGAAACACTAATGAATGATAGAAATACATCACTTACTCTTGAGGCAACGGCTATTGAAAGAGAACTTGGATCTTCATATTTAATGATCTAAAAGGGAATCATTACATACAGGTTGAAACACGTAAAGCGAATATGATACATGGCCTGTTCATATCTATTAACCTAAAAAATATTTAGATTAATAGATATGAAGCTTTGAAGTAAACATTACTTCATGTATGTTAGGTCAAATCTGAAATTCGCTGTTCCGGTATGGTGTCTTTACTTAAAAGGTGACATCAAAGAAATTGAAACAATTCAGTACAAAGCAACCAATGTACTTCACAATTTGATAGAATTATCCTATGCTGAAAAGTGACGGCGTCTCAGATTCACTACTTTGGGAACTCACAGGCGACGTAGCGACTTGATCCAACAGTTTAAACTAAAAAATGGTTTTGAAATTATCAATTGGCATAATTCAATAATTCGCAGATCCAAATCCAATGTCCTAATGCATGAATTCACATATAATATTGCTCTTCATAATTTCTCCACAAATCGTATTGTCAATGATTGGAATAACTTGCCATTACCATGCAAAAAGGCTCCGTTAGTTAATTTATTTAAGAATAGAATTGACTTTTTTCCCTACAACTGCGAACAGCACATCATTTACTGAAGATGAGCTGCACGTTTATTAAATCGTGATTTAGCACGAATATATATATATATATATATATATATATATATATATATATATATATATATATATATATATATATATATATATATATATATATATATATATATTGACTATTTAGATATTAGTTATATATATTGACTATTTAGATATTATTTGTTATAAACTTTAGTTAAATGAAAGCAATCTTTTTTCTCTTTATCTCAGTTACTTACTTTCTATGAAAAAAAACTTACTTTCTATGAAAAAAAAGTTTTGATATCAACTTACTTTCTATAAAAAAAAAGTTTTTTTACTTAAAGTTTATATTTTACAAAACATAAATTTTTGTATGATTTATTCGTTTCTTTTTTTAAAATAATTTTTCATGTAATCTAAAAAGACTAATTTAAATACATTACTATTATATCTATTACTATTATCATTATAAAATAAAAAGATTTATTGTAAAAATAATTTAAAACCGTTTTAATGAAACATTAAACATTTTGTGTTTAATTAGCACAACTTTTGCTGATAAAATAAGTTATAATATTATTTATTTAACTCTGACCATATCAATTACATCGGTTGTCGAACCTTTACGAATATCATTTATGTTAGGATTTTGTTGCTTGTTAGCTCGCTGACACAGCAAAAACTGTAGACATACTCGTAAACATCGAATAACTTGTATATTGCTAATTGAGTAAAATATAAAAAGAAATACTCCTTGAAGCGAGTTAAATATACAAAACAGTATCTGAAACGTACTGGCCAACGGCCCTAAATTTAATGATTAATATATTCTTATTAAGAAAGCGTATTTTGAAGATTAAAAATGTGTGTATAAAAAAAAAAAAGGAAATAAAGGCCATCAAAAAATGTACCTATTGCAAATATGGAAAAGATCCAAGTAATCCCCAACAATGAGCTGAATGCTAGAGCTATCTTTATCGACTTTAGGACCTCACGAGATGACTGACGTTGACCTTTAGAACATTTATTGTTAGAACTTAATATTCTTATTAACACGGAAAGAAGAACCAAAATATTTAAACCAAGAATCAAAACACACGGAAGTAGTACAGCGATGTAAAAGGCATTTCCTTGAATAAGACAACTAAAATTAAATTTTTAAAATTAAAACTAGAATAGTAATCAAAGTAGCAATAATATAAATTATTATGTTAATACAAAATCAAAATTATATAAAAGTTTCAAAAAAAAAAAAAAATCATATTTTTATAAAAATATAAAAAACAACAAAAAAAAATTATAAATAAAATTTATGTAAAAATGCATATTTTTTTAAATTATAAGTTGAAATATAAGTAGTGAAATCTAAAGTAAAAGTTTTGTGATTTGATGGTTTTTTTTGGTTTATGTTTTTTTAATTTATTTTTATGTAATTTTTCTTCTTTTGTGAACCAACATGATACACTGTTAAAGAAATTTTTTAAAAATAATATCAGGGATCCATCTGATGTTTAAGGTTAAAGCCATTTGATTATATATTGCAATTAAGGTGTATGCTGCAGATATTTTTCAAAATTGTTTTTTTTGAATTACACTAATATATGTACCTATCAGCTTATATAATATACAATACCCAGTCAGTTTACTTCAGCATGATCATCAGGAAGCCGGGAAAGTTCCTGATGATCATGCGGAAGGAGAAACTGACAGTCGAAGATCAGATAAGATTAGCCAAGACTCGAATTAAGGGCCCACAGTGGGTTAAAGTGTAGCAAAATAAAAAAAAAAACTTGTGTTTAATGTAGGTTTAATGTTAATTGTTGTTTTTCACACTTATAAAGCTTTAATAAAATGATATTTGTCATGAAAATAAAATGTCATTATTATTCATTTGTCAGCCATTAGCTATTAAACTAAAGTTTATACGACCTGTTGAAGATGAAATTTTTTTTCCAATTTGTAAATTTTAAAACAAAAATTAATTAAAAATATAAGTTGCTACACATAAATTGTAAACTGTTTTATGAATTAAAATATATGCGCTATTATTTTTTTATATATTAATAGATTTTTCTTTATTTTAAATAACAGAACTTCGCTGGAAGTTTTTTGCTTGTAAGTAAGTTTTGCTTGTAAGTAAGAAATTTTATTTAATTTTGAAGTTGATGTATTTTTGTATGTTTTTTGAGTGTAAATTTTTACTTTCTTTAGTTAATTAAAAAAAACCTCCAAAATCTTCTAGTCTGAAAATACTTTAAAATCTTTATTAAGTATATATATGATATTATAAAATTGGTTTGAGCCTCAACAAAGTACCACCTTGTCTAAAAAATAACTTTCAGATAACAGCAGGGGTAGCGCCAGCATTTTTTGGTTTTCGAGATATCTAACTTCCAGACATGGAGCAAACTCCAAACATTTATATGTTTATGCTTATGTCAAATAAAGATGCTTTGCAAAAAATTGCGATGGTTGGAGCCTGGGAACAAAAAAACCCTAAAATTTTAGCCCCCCTGCCCCAAACGCGAGAGCAAGAAACTGATGAAATAATTTTTGAACTATTTTCAAATAGGCTTATATTCCTCGATAAGTTTTAAATTTTCATTGTAAAATATTTTAGCGTTCAAAAAATATGACCATTTAAACCCCCTAATTTTGAGGGGGTTGCAAATTTTATATGGTCATAATTTTTGAACGCTGAGAAATTATACTATGAAACTTAAAAATTTTAAGTTTAATAGTATAATTTCATATTTTTAAAACGGCAAAATATTTTACTATGATGTTTAAAAATTTATCGAGGAATATAAGTCTATTTGAGAATAGTTTAAAAATACTTCATTATAATATATTTTTGATTGAAAGAAAAATTTTTTAATTGTATTTTAAATTAAAATACAATTAAAATAATTTTTCTTTTAATCAAAAATTTATTTAGAAGCTCCAGATATGTTATTTAAAGCTAATTTAGTAATATTTAATAAAAAATAATTTTGGCGCAAAAATTGGCAATCTGACCCACTGTGGAGCCGATGACACCGAGGGGCTGGGGAATCCTACCTCCCCTCCCCCTCCCCCAATTTTTTTCTAAAGGACTTTTTTTTTTAAAGAAAAATCTAGATATGAAGGACTTTTTTTACAAATTAGTGATTGTGCCCCTTCACTTCGAAACCCGTGTCGTCGGCCCTGTTAAGTAATCGCGAATTGCAATTTCTGGTCATTAAATTCTCATTTTTAATGAAACGGTCAATTTATCATATTGCAATAATTAATGAAACAATAAATTACTGCTAAAATTATAACAGTCAAAACTTACATATTTTTATTGTTTTTTTTAAACACCAGGTAATTTGAGGATTATAAATCAAAAAAAGTTAAAGGAAAAAAAAAATAATTGCCATAAGTCCGGAAAACATTTGTATGAAACATTTAAATCGATTTTTGTTCAGGGGGAAAGTTTGAGGAATTATATAAAAATTTAAATGTTTTAAAATGGAAATTAATAAAAATAACAATTTTTTACTTAGTCTTGATTTTGCTGTTTTGTTTACTTTGTATCTAAACTAGTTTCTCCAATAAAAAAATTTCTTTAAATATAACTCACCTTTAACTTTATATCGCTTTATTTGTACTTAGGCTTTGTCACAATATAAAATCTTGAAAAATACATTTTAAAATGAGTCATTTAGACTTTTTTTTAAATAAGTATAAAGAACTTCTATGAGTTTTTGTATATTTTAAAACTCTTTTGTTTTTAATTTTGTATAGATATCTGCAAAAGTTACGAACATTTAATTTATTAGAAAATGTTACGGTTTCAATAGGAGATAAAAGTATCTTATTTCACGATTTCTTTTATCTTAAATATTTGATCATAGCTAAATTAACACTTCACATCACATTTACATCAACACATCACACCACATTTACACCACTAAAATACTTGATAACAGCTCTGGGTTTAAAAATGACATGAGTTAAATATAGCTTTGTCACTTTATAACACATAACTTTGCTTTTCTGCAGTGTAATTTTTGTGAGTTCATTTTAATCTAGCTTTCTTTTTTTTCCTTTTCTGAAACTTATAGTATTTTTTTGAAACAAATGTAACTAAGTAACCAAAGTAACCAAAGCAACTGCTCCCACTTAATAAAAGCATCAATTTAAAGCATTTTAATTTCTTAATTGCATTACCACCTCAGAATAATATATCAAACCACCGAACAATATTTCCAATTTAACTACCTGGCCAATTTAACCATATGACCTAATTGATAATGAAATCAAACTTATAAATAAATATAATCTTATGCAAATTGTAAAATTTGATGTGTTTTGATGTGCTAAACATTTTAATATAACCATTGAAATTTTATAATAAACCAAGAAGCTGACATCTCTAACATATATTTTACACAAAATTTAATTAAATAAATAATAAAAATAAGAAATGAAGAAAAAAATTTAAAACGAAAAGAAATATCAGAAAACAAACAAATTTAAGAATTTAACTTACAATCTGGAACTAATTATGTGTGTTTTGGCAACACCAAACGTAATTGATACCACCAAAAAAGGGAATCCTAAAATAAAATAACCTTTAAATAAGTGAACTCAGCTGAAAAAAATAAAAACTGAAGATTTATTAAAAAATTTTTTTTTAACTAAGCAAAGATTTTTAAATAAGCAAAGATTTGAAATTACTTTGCAAACTTTTTTTTCTATAAAAATTGTTCTGATTTTGTTTCTTTTCTTTTGTTTAAAAAGTACATAAAAATCACTTTTCTATGATTGCATTTTCTATGAAGAAATATAGCATTAACAAAATTTGATAACATATAACTTTTATACATAACTATAGATAAACAGTTTAATGTATAATAACTAAGTCACGGAATATTTGGCAGCCAAATATTCGGTGCTTTGGCCAAGCATCTAGCTAAATATTTTCAAAATCACTTCATGGCATCTCTAATTCATTTATTTTTTAAATTAAATTTGCAATAAATTTCTATAGATAATTAATTTTTTTTTTGTTGAATTTTTAGCTTTTCCTGAATGTTTTTGGTTGTATAAAATTTTCTGAAACTTTATATTTGATATTTATCAACACACAAGTTTTAAACTTAAACTACACAACATTTTTTTTTTATTTAAATTTTTTAATTAATAATACTTAAATTATTTAATAAATCAAATTAATAATTATATATATATATATATATATATATATATATATATATATATATATATATATATATATATATATATATATATATATATATATATATATATATATATATATATATATATATATATATATATATATATATATAATATATATATATATAATTATTATAGTTAAGTCATTATATTTTACACTAGAGAGACCTCATCTTGAAAATTCAGTTCCAGTTTGGAATCTAACTCTAATCAATGTTATTGTAGAACTTGAAAAGGTTGATGTATTTATACATTGTACATTGTTTCTAGTTTAGGATGTTGAATGCTGGATCTTCTTAACTCAATGCATGGGTTTTGCTTGTGTCTCTATTTTTATGACTAGCCAACTCATTCTTTTATCTCCTAATAAGAGTTCAGCACTAAAACTCAGTTTTATGGTTCTGAGGCTGACTGGTAGTCAGGTTTCCCACACTCTGTGGTAGCTCTCAGAGAGGTCGGTTCCATCAACAGCTGTAAAATATCAGAGTACTAACAGTGTCATGTTGCGCATGGGTGGTGTCTCTGTTCGTACTTTAGGTGTGGATTGTCAAGGCTGCATTTGGAGCTCTTTGCTATAGCTTTATTAATAATAATGAGGCTTTTAGTTGGACTATTAAATAGTGCACTGAGTAATAACTGTGAGTCAAGTTCTTTAACAAACTAAAAAACAACTAAAGTACCAAAAACTGAAAAACAGAAAAAACCATCGTCATCACCAAGTTCTCTAAATCTATCGTTCACTAATAACCACGGTCTTTGAAGTTTTCTTCTGTTGAGTCTTATCTCTTGCAAAGTTCACCAGACCTACTTGCTCTTTGTAAAACTAATTTGAGTTCGGCTGTCTCATCTTGTGATCTTAGTGTTGATGGTTGTCTTTTTTTAATTCCTAAAGACTCCAATATTCACATGCAAGGCCTGGGCATTTACATTTGTAAGACTTCACCTATTTGTCGGGAAACTAGATTTGAATCCACAGAATATTCTTTTATATGCTTTTTTTTTAACACCACCTAAACTCTAACATCTTTCTCTTTGCTCAATATTACTCTCCTTCATCTTTTTTATTTGTAATATTGTATATTATGTTATTTCTGATTATTGTATATTTTATTAGTTCTGATCAAATCGACCAAGCCCTCTCTCTTTATCCTTCAGCCAATATTGTTGTTGTTGATGACTTTAATGGTCATCACACTGAATGGCTTGGTTTAAGTCTCACTAACTCTGCAGGTGTTAAAGCCCACAACTTTTGCCTTTCTTAATCTCTAACGCAAATAGTCAACTTTTTAACTCACTTTCCAGATAATCTAAATCATTTACCATCCCTACTTGACTTAAGTCTTGTTTCTGATCCTAGTCAGTGCTTAATTTCTCCATATTCATTCTTAGGCACTTCTGATCACAGTTTGATTTCTTTAAAACTATTATCTCATTTTTCTTCATCATCAGAAACCACCTTATTATCATACCTTTTACAACTACCTTAAAGCTGACTAAACTCTTACTGTAATTTTCATTGTGATGCCCCTTGAGTAGAAATCTTTCGTTTTCCTGCTGAACAATGTGCATCATTAAAGTAATCAGACTGGCACAAAATCTTTTATTCCCCTTCGACAATTTCAACTCATGCCTCACTCTTTTCCATAGTTTTCCTTTCATTGAGCTACTGCAATTTCCAATCGCAACCATTGCTTTCATATCTATCAGCAAAATAATTCTCTAGAAAACAGACATCTATTTTATTATTGCTAGAAACCGTTGTAAAAAGGTTTTGTCTAATGCTAAAGCCCGCTATTCCTATTCCGCATTTCCTGAAATTTTGTATTTTATCTTAAAAATTAAGCTCTTGTGACTTCTACAGAATCATTAACAATATGTATATTAAGGGCTAATCTGTTATTCCACCTCTCTTGTATGGTTCAGATTTTGTAACCTCACCTAAAGACAAGACTGAATTGTTTGCTAAGAACCTTTCATCTATATCATCTCTTGACTCCATCAGTTGCCTTTCAACCTGATATCAATGACAAACAGGCAAGTAATTTGACTGACTTTCATAACACTCCAGCTTTCTGTATCCAAAGGAAATTCCTGTTTAGAACCTTCTAAAACTATAGCCTTGCAAAAGTGTTCTTCTGAGCTGTGGTCTATACTTTCAAAACTATTTAAAAAATGCTTATCAGAGACTTGTTCTCCATCATGCTGAAAAGCTTCAATTGTGATCCCTATTTTTAAAATTTCTGGAGAGCGATATGACTTGCCTAACTACTGTCCCATTAGTCTTCTTCCTATTATAAGCAAGGTTTTTAAGCCTTTAATTAATAAATACTTAATCTCTTATCTTGAATCTAATAACTTACTTTCTGATCATCAATATAGCTTTTAATCTTCTTTTTCTACTGCTAATTTGTTTATTGATATAAGATTATCGAATCTTTCTTTACCAATCATAGTATAAAAGTTGTCCTAGATGGACAGCACTCTTCTTCATATCCTGTAACTTCAGGCCTTCCTCAAGGTTCTATCATTGGCCTTATACTTATTTTAATTCACATTAATGATCTTCTAGATATTCTTATTTAAGGTGACATTATTTGCTGATGATATAACCATTTATTCTTGTCTTGATATGAAGCCAACACTCTCTGATTGCTTAGAGGGGGAATTTGAGCTTGAAAGAGATCTCACTCCTGTATAGGACTCTCAGTGGGTGGTAAACTTTAATTCAGATAAAAAGTTTTTTCAGCTGATCGCTATTACAATAATTTAGATTTTTTTATATTTATGAAAAGTAATGTACCCGATGAGTCATCTAAAATTCATTCTAACTTTACTTGTAGGGCAATTAAGTTCATCTTTTTACTGTGACTACTCTTAAGTGCTCCAAAAATTTTTCTTCACCCTGTTTTTTCCATCAAACATTACTTCTTTGATATTCGCTTCCTTCATCTTGTTTTCTTGATTAATTTTAAGTTGTCTGTCAATCATTATCTTATTCTATAAATTTCATCTTTTTTCTAGTAACTTCCAACTCTAATAGTTGATTGTAGCCTTGTTGGAAGGAAAGATGTCAAAGAATAAAAAAAGGAAAAAAAAAAGATCGTAAAATGCTAATACATTTAAAATATTTTAATATAAATATGCTTTTTAAACCTGTTCTAATAGCTTTAGAACTTTAAAGTGTCTTTTTTGTACAAATATGTGATTGCTGCTCAAGCAAGCTCTCCAGCCAACCAAACCACACTCCAGCCAACCAAACCACACTCCAGCCAACCAAACCACAATCATAACTTGTCATTCAGCAAAGTTGCATCTTTTTACTGTAACTGTTTCTTCTCACAAAATTTTATTTATTATTATTTTTTTTTGTCTCAATACTCAAGTATTTTTTTTTTCAATTTGAAGAGTTTCACTAATTTCTATTGTTATTATTATTGAATTTTTCAATTAATAATATTTAACAAAGTATTTAATATAGTAAATTATATAAATATATATATATATATATATATATATATATATATATATATATATATATATATATATATGTATATATATATACATATATATATATATATATATATATATATATATATATATATATATATATATATATATATATATATATATATACACAAACACACACACAGATATATATACCTTTTTTTTTTGTAATTTATCTCCTCAAGGCCGAGAAGGCCACTACAGATGAGGAGGCTACTTGTGGTTACAACCCTACCCTCTCTCAACTCTATAACTCCAAAACAGGAACATTGACAAACAAGGCCACTAACATTAAGTTATTAGAGAGAAATGGACCTAAAACAACAAAAGGATTGGACCCTAAACAAAAAGCTATGCTGTTGCCTCATTCCTACTAATAAAACCTCATGCATAAAATCTCTTAATGAAAACAATTCCAAAAGTAATAACAAGCTCGCCATCGATGAGCAAAATTAAATTATTTATATTCTGATGTTTTAAAACTGTTAATGGAACCAGCTTCTCTTAGAGCTACCAGACTTCAATAACTCCTTAGTACTGGCTGGTCTCAGAACAATTAAACTAAGTTATAGAGATGTACCCACATTAGAAAAAATATAGGTAAGCTGTTATTTAAAATATTAGAAACAGTACTACACCAAAGTTAGGGTCAGGGTACATGAAACATGAAAAACTAGACAAAGTGTAAAACCTATTAAACAAATCTTCAAGAACTATGTAAAATATCATTAATTAGTATAAAGTATGAGATTTATAAATTAGAAACATGTTTTTATAAACATAGGATTTCTATAGAAATATACATATAGAAACATAATGGTTTATTAATTAGAAAATCATTAAGCAAGAATGATGT